CACTTAGCTGGGCAACGCCGGCTATGTCATGCCTCTGTGCGTATGTGCAGTAGGTATACGTTTGATTTGGCGATAGACGAGCCTCGGCAATTGCTCGATTGACGAGCCTCGGCAATTGCTCGATAGACGAGCCTCGGCAATTGCTCCATTCCATGATTCAATACGCCTATTCAGTATTCGTGCCTTTGATTTGTCAATTCGTCAATTCGTCAAATCGTCAATTCGGCGATTCAATTTGGCAATTCGTTATTTTGGCAATTGCTCAATTGAACGTTTGAATGATTAAACGACTGTTCAATTGAACAATCAATCGATCAATTGAACGTTTGAATGATTAAACGACTGTTCAATTGAACAATCAATCGATCAATTGAACAATCAATCGATCAATTGAACAATCAATCGATCAATTGAACAATCAATCGAATAATTGAATGTTTGAATGATTAAATTGACTGTTCAATTGAACAATCAATCGATCAATTGAACAATCAATCGATCAATTGAACAATCAATCGATCAATTAAACAATCAATCGATCAATTGAACGTTTGAATTATTAAATTGACTGTTCAATTGAACAATCAATCGATAAATTGAACGTTTGAATGATTAAACGAGTGTTCAATTGAACAATCAATCGATCAATTGAACGTTTGAATTTTGACACATATCCCCTCCCATACCGTCATACGTACACGCGCACGCACACACGATTCTCTCTGTGTTTTGCATATAGTATATGCATGAATATGCCGAAGTTTTCCTCTTGCAACAGAGCATCGACGAAAATACTGCGGCAATAGGTCTATTTCTATGGTAAACGCGTTCTTTCGCTGTGTCATTGGCCCATAGTTCGACGACAGTAGAGTACTATAGAAAACTATAGAGAACTATATAGGCTATAGCTTCGCTCCACCACAGGATCCGAATACGCTAGAATTATACGATGACGATAATACTATTATTTCGCATCTATTCTTTCTATTCACCCGCATACAAATAATTTATTTTGAATCATGTTAATATCGAAGTTCTTATAATAGTTTATATTATAAAACTAAGTATTTAGGCAATAAATAAAATCATAAAAGTATTTTTCCATGAATGGCATGAGCCTGATATGAGCAGTGTCATTGACGTCACGGGATGTAGACCGGTCCTACATAAAAAATAGATCGCAGCGTGAGCCTAGATTAGGGCCCTGCTACTATCGATCTGAAATTCGTTGCGACTATCTCACACAAGAGACTAATCATTTTTTATGTTTTGAAACCCATATAAAAATTAAAGATCAGTATAGAAGTCATTAAGGGCAGCGTACGCGTAGTGATAATATATCTACGATTGGGTGTGCGTGGGCTTAATCGTAAACAAGAGGAAATGTGATGTCGAAGGAACAGATTTAAAGATTCTAGCACATTTTTATTCTTTAGTAGTTATTAATACCACATTAAAGATGGATATTGCTAGAACCGTATTTGGGGTTCGATCAACGGAGGGTTATATGTCAGGAAAGAGTATAAAAGGTGTGTATGTGTAAGTTACATGACATTGTGTAGTACTAGTGGTTCAAGGATAGAGAGTTACTAATACTAGTAGTAGTAGTTAGTAGTAGTAGTACTAGTAGTAGTAGTACTAGTAGTAGTAGTACCACATACCTTAGCTCTAGTACTATAGCCCGCGGATAGCTGCCCAGCTGCGGCAGCTATTCGCGGGCTATAGTACTAGAGCTACACATACCTCAGCTTCAGACTCGGTACCTGCTGGCGTAGTCCGAGCCGACGCAGACCCCAGTAAGCCCCGGCGCAAATCCACTTTAGGCACCTTAGGTATCACGAAGTGATGCACAGATTTCTGTGTATCATCAACTGATGCACAGACTTTCCGTATATCAAGGAATGATGCAAAAACCCTAACCCTAACCCTAAGTCATAAAGTATAACCTTACTCCTTAGGTATCACGAAGTGTGTTAGGGTTAGGATTAGGGTTAGGGTTAGAGTTAGGGTTTTTCTATCATTCCTTGATATACGGAAAGTCTGTGCATCAGTTGATGATACACGGAAATCTGTGCATCACTTCGTGATACCTAAGGTGCCTAAAGTGGATTTGCACCGTAAGCCCCTAATGGGTTAAACCCGCACCCTCAGATTAGCAAAGCGGAGTTATAACGTCTGCATTTGCGGACAACTGCATTTGCTGGCGCTGGTTGCTAGTAGTAGTAGTAGTACTAGTAGTAGTACTACTAATACTAATAATAATAATAATAATACTAGTAATACAAGTTACAACTACTACTAGTACTAGTACTAGCTACTAGTAATACTAATAGTAATAGTAATACTATTAGTGTTGTTGTACTGACATTACTAGTTGTTGTGCTGGGACTGCTGTAAATGTAATACTAAATAGTAATACTACTGTAATAGTAGTGTCAGTACTATAGTAGCAGTAGTACGAATACCGCAGTAGTAATATACTAATAGTAATACGAACTACTGTACATGGAATTTGTATATAGAACCATTAAACTTTGAAGCCAAGTGTATATTTTGTCTTCAGCTATATTCCAGATGTCAGATGATGTGATTTTTCGTAATATATTGACCGGCATTGTAAAAAGATAAATATTGCAGGTTCTCTTGCGAACACTATTTGCACCTAAAAACCAGCTGCACAGCTGATTAGAGGCCACACATTTAGGGGGGTGGGGGTGAATGTAAAATTCACAGTTAGCATCCACAGATCCCCTAATTCCTATCAACCACACACCCATCAGACAGCATAATTATTGCAGCTATGAATCACCTCCTCGTGTTTAATACCAGGGGTGGCATCCATCCAGTTAGCTGACAGATGGTTTCTGTTGTAGTACGTTAAAGAGTTCGTTTCAGTCGCATGGTGCTAATCACTACTGAAATGTAGGGGGTGGGCCCCGCTGGACTATGAGAGAGCCACAGCAAAACTCTTTCCTGGAATTGAGGAAAAAGCTACAATCGGGAATTACACACGAGTGTGCCGGCACGCAAAAATAAACGTGTGAATTTCATTACGATTTTCCATGGACCGTTCTATAATTATACGGGGCTACGTAGGCACGCCCGCAGGCATACATGCACGCATGCAGGCACGCACGCACACACACGCCCAGGCATGTGCGCAGGTATGCACGCACGCACACACAGGCACGCACGCATGAATCAGAGCAAGCAGCTCAGAAGACGTAGACGGCTAGACGCACTGTATGACTCGACTGCCCGACAAGTGGGAGCCCATGCACAGAGTAAAACAGTGTAATAGCCTGCTACAAGCATGCGCTGTGACTACGCGTATGTCGTCTCGTGCGACAGTGCAGTATAGTTGCATTTTGCTTTGTTTGTATTGTTTCTTGCTTTGATATTTCAAACCTAGCTGTCGGCCTGCCTGGAATCCAAACCTGTCGGCGATTTTCAAACCTGTCGGCCAAAAACTCAAACCTGTCGGCCTTGCATGTTAAAACCCCTCGTGGACCACACTGCTAGTCTATAATCTTCAGTCGAGATGTAAAGTACCCCCACCAGCCTCCTACCTCTCGTACTTGTTATGATGTTTGCCGCTACCATTGTTCTCTTGTTACCTGCGTCCTTGTTTATAGCCGAGATGCTGCTGGAAGATGAGGATGAGAGCAAGCATAGAGAGTCTGGTGAAGATGCCAGCAATTCTGTTCGATTATCATGCCACGGGAATGGTAGTGGCTACACCCCATGTCCCGGTGGGCCATTTAGTGCATTGACATCCTCGATGTGGCCCCAGGATATCCTTGCTAAACTTGCGCAGGTAAGCGTATGCTTTCTCAGTATATGTGCACGTGGCATATCAAAAAGGTGCTAAGATTACCACAAATATATAACGGTGATATTAGGGCAGTTTCAAAGCAGTCACTTCTCTGAACATTAACTGTAAAACACTGTTTTTCATCACTTACCTCCCGCTTTTGCAAAGTGTGTAATAAAGTTAATTAGTACTGAATAATATGATACGGACCCAGTGACGACTTGAGAAAACGCCATCAGTTTGTGACGTGTGTTTTCCTCGTGGCCGCAGCCAGAAGGTGCCGGACAGCCAGACTTCAGGTACGATGAGTTTGGTTTCTGCATCGAGGAGGAAGACGGACCGGAGCAAACGTCACGTAAGCTGCTCGGCTTGCCGTTCCTCGAGGATTCACAGCATCGTCTGACTTGGGTTGCACACCTAGAGTTCTCACAAAACAACGACGTCGGGGAGCTGACCTGGGATCAGGTGATGTGTATATGAGTAAATTGTATGTGTGTGTGAGTGAGTGTATGTGTATCCCCTATATTAGCAAACTTGTATGGAACCTACCAGTCATTGACAACCATCTAATGTTTTCTCGGAAAATTGTCTAAATTGTTTTTTGTATTCACTGTTTTGATGTTTGTGTGCAGTGATTGGTTTTGATAATCGGATTTCGTTAGAAGCTGTATTTGGGGGAGATACCTCTTAAGGTTTCAATATACTGGTGTATGTCATAACAAAATGTCATTTTTGATTTCCGACTCGTCATCCTTTCATTTATTGCCTTACTACTCGGGCCATGACAGCATCCATGAAGTTTGTACGGAGACCTCTTTGTGATCACAGTCGAAAATGTTCTATTTCAACAACTAGGTGGAGCCAGAGTTGCAGAGGTCAGACAAACTAGGAACCATGGTAAGGAATGGCATCCCACATTCTATGCGACCACAGATATGGATGAGGATATCAGGTGCCTTGCAAAAAAAGTTGAATGCCGACATTTCATATAAGGATATTGTCAAGAATGGCTCTAAGGATCATTTGATGACGTCAAAACAAATAGAGAAGGTATGTGCATGCACACATGGTTGCACATGTGCTGACTCTGCATCATTACCATCATCACATTTTTATTTTGTTACTGCCATAGTAAAAGCCATATTTACTCAATATACACGTTGGCACAAATGTCAGATACTACTACAACGATGAATTGCCATGGCTAACAATGATGCGATCTGAGTATTTTTTCACTGACCGGTTGTGTTGATGCACATTCTAGTTGCCAAACAGTAGTTTTGATTGCCAGTGTGATCGTTTTGGTTGCTATGTAGAGCACTGTCCTATCTCTTCTCTCAGGATCTACTGCGCACGATGCCTAGCAACGCTTGCTTCTCTACGATGACAAGCACAGGCATACCGCGTCTGCGCCGTGTGCTCCGTTGCCTCGCCTGGCTCTACCCTGACATCGGCTACTGCCAGGGTACCGGCATGGTGCGCATCTAAGAGCTAATTTTCAAAAGAGAATTATTAAATTAAAAACGCAGTACATCCCTTCATGCATCGTCTCGTACCGTAAAATGATAGCTCTGTCCCTATGGACTAGTTTCACGTATGGTGTATCGAGGAAGCAATGGAAAATCACAATGCCACAGACCAATTTCGTTGGAAATTTTAAGTTGAGTTCTAATGTCTTCTCTGTCTCTATGTCATTGCTGTCATTATGTCATCGCTGTCTGTATATCATTGCTGTCTGTGTGTCATCCCTGTCTCTATGTCATCCCTGTCTGTGTGTCATCGCTGTCTGTATGTGATCGCTGTCTGTACGTCATCGCTGTAATAATTTTGCTGACAACTTCTCGCTACACGTGTGACAGATCGCTGCGTCGCTGCTGCTGTTCATGGAAGAGGAGGATGCATTCTGGATGATGGCGACCATCGTTGAGGATCTTGTGCCAGCGTCCTACTACTCGAGTACGCTTATCGGCGTGCAGGCTGACCAGCGCGTGCTGCGCCAGCTCATAGTCACCTACCTCCCCGACATCGACATGGTGCTCAAGGAGCACGACATAGGTAGGTGGCGCCGTCGAACATTACTAGTTACTCAGTAATTCACTAACAAAACTATATAGTTATATAACTAATGTATATATATATATTGTTACGGTCAGAAATACCCGGTCCCGGAATGAAACCAACAGATAATAACAATAAGTTGTTTAACTCAACAAGTTTAATTAGCAATGGGTTAAATATTACAATGTAGTACATATACAGGAACGGTTTAAATAAGGAGTACGATTAGCTACAGCAAAATATTTATAAATCGGATTCTTCTTACGAGTGTCGATCGTAGTCAGGCCTAGAGTCCAGTTTAGGTTGCTGACTCGAATTCCTGACGTTCCGAGGAAGCCGATGTGACATGTAGCTTTGAGTAGATCTCCATTTATTGCAGCTCTCTGGATTCGGTAATGACCGGCAGTTTAACTCTGTGCAGAACAATAGTCTGCAGTTACCACGTTAAAATCCAAATGATGAGCACGACTGTGTCTTTGTCCATACACAACTTCCTTAACGACAATGGTCTATTACTTCACGTCTATATTCTATTACTTCCTGATTATGGACTACCTCCCTTCATGACTATACATGCTGGCTTTATATAGTAATCAGGAATACTTCTGGAACACTCTACAAATCTAGAATTTTCCAAAACCTGCTACACGATGCTCGAGGTTCGAGAGCTTTTATAAACAACCCCGCAAACTTTCTCGAACTTTCCGGACTGTACGCGTGACTATTTACAGCTTGTTGCTAAGCAACAATACGGCACACGTAACAATATATATATTAATATTTATTATAACTAACTGTTATAAAAAATACTTAACTAGTAATATAATTAATTACAAGGTATTTAAGGTATAGTAACAGGTTGCCGTCATTGTTGTTCTTGCAGAGCTGTCATTGATCTCACTGCACTGGTTCCTAACGTTGTTCAGTAGCGTTGTTCACATGAAGGTGCTGCTGCGCATGTGGGATATGTTCTTCTACGAAGGATCAGTCGTGCTGTTCCAGGTCACGCTCGGCATGCTGAAGACCAAGGTCCGTGTCAAATTTCAGAGGTCACGACCTCAAGAATATCCACCGTTTTTAGCTCATCTGACATAGTCAGATGCAGCTTGTAGAATCGCATGATCGTCCGTCCGTGCGTGCGTCCGGCCGTCCGTCCGTCCGTCCGTGCATCAACAGTTGGGCACAAATCTTAACCGCTCGACATACGGTCACGATATTCGGCACATCGGGGGGGATCGTCAAAACGAGTTGGGATGTCGAAGCTGGGGGTCAAAGGTCAAAGGTCAAGAGGTGTAAAAGAAGGGGGAACATTCACTCCTTAACTTAAGGTATAGGGAGGAAATGCGGAATTGCGGCACAAATCTAAACGGCTTGACCTAGGCTCGTGATAGTCAGTGTATAGCATCATGGTAGGAAAACCCATCACTGTGCCGAAATTGGAGGTCACAGGTCAAAGGTCAATGGGCACAGGGCAGATTTTAGACATTTTCTGAGGACATGGTCTGACGGAGCGATTGAAAAACTTTTTTGTTTCAGCGGTGACCTAGCATTTTTATGGCTTTATTGAAAGGACCATGAAATGTCCCTTCTGCTGACATGCGAAGAGTAAGTGTCGGATAACCTTTTGACCCTCAAGATGAGGGTTAAACATGGATTTGTTTACTGTCTGTTAGAAAGAATTTGACTGCCGGGTTTGCTAATAGAATCTATACATGCCTGGATGTATGAGGCTACAATGTCACAGTGAAATTTCAAAAGCTAAATTTGGAAGAAGGTTTATGCTCCTTAAATCGTATAATTTCTATGGCATTCTGTACTGTCAGTATTTTACATGTAACGTATGCCACTGCCAGTGGCCACTGCCAGTGCATGTGGTGGTGGTGGTAGGCCTACTGTGTAGTTTTTGCCTGCGTTAATTAGTTACAGGTGGCAGCTCTCTATTGCAGCCTGTAGGCTTGCGTAGGTAAATGGATGAGTGCTTACCTATTCTGTCTTGCAAATAGTTGTTGCTACTACGTACGATTGGAGCTTCCATCTTTAATCTGAAGACACTTAAACGTACGCGCCATCTCGTGGCAACTTTCATAACGATCCCAACGAACATTCCTTTGAGAAGGTTCCTGATACCATCCCTGTGCATTCTACTGTTTCGGTGTGTATGTCAACACATTTGGGACTAACAGGGTTTACTAGAATCCCACCACTCCACCACAGAGTCACCGCAGTAGACGTTAGATGAGCGCTGTCGCTCCGCGGCACTTGTTGTTGTTTTCTTGAGGTGCTGAAAATTCCGATCCCAGGAGGTTGTTTCCTCTGCGGAAATGTTCCTCTATCTATTTTGTTCAGGCTCTGAATTCTGCAGTATTGTAAATTGAGAATGGAGTTGTTAAAGGGATTTTTACGTCTTGTACGAAGATAATAACTGTGGAAGTTTCATGTAGGAGTCCACACTGACCAGTCTGGAGAACTCTGCACAAATTTTCAATGCCCTCTCTGACATTCCTGGGGATGTAGAAGAAGTGGAACTGATCTTAGAGGTATGACACCAAGAAATAATCTTTGTTCCTGTACCGATGACCATGCAAGTTCATTCATCATATCACTTTGTTCATTAGTTATCTTTATATTATACAGTATTATATCATAATATTTGTAGTTTCATTTTTATTTTCTTATATGCTAATATTTATTATTATCGTTATCGTTATCGTATATTATCGTTATCATCACCGGTTTGCCATGCAAGTTGGCAATGCTTGTACACGTGTTTGCCTTATTTTTCACTGCATCTCCATCGTTTCTATTTTTCTCTTTCCTCCCCATGTTTGGTTATACCCAACAGCTCTCACAGCGAGTGGCAGGATCATTGTCTGAGGTAATCATAGAAACACATCGGCGGAAGCATCTTGCCTACCTGATGGCAGACCAGGGAGCCATCGTGAATCCAGAGGCAGCTCGCAACCTGCCGAAGCAGGTAAGCAGGAGAAACGTGGCACGCAGTAAATGATATTATTTAATATTATTCGATACGATACTTCTCCAATTATAGCTGGGGTTGCTGCAGGTCGTGGAGACAGCCATATTGTAGCGGGTTGCCATTGAGATACCGTCGAGTGTTTACGTGCAAAGATGGTGGCCGTGTCGTAGACTCTCCCCGATCGAATACCGAGCGTGAGCGTGCCTGCCTTGCTCTCCCTGCAGCAGCTGAGCAGACGGCAGATGCGACGGTCTCGATCGCTCATCCAGCTGCTGCTGTTCGGGGACAGCGAAGATCCGGACTTCATGAAAGCGAAGAACATCAAGCAGACGGAGCTACTTGTCGACCTTCGTGAAGCCATACTGCAGGTCGCCCGACACTTCCAGTCCGTCGACCCGGCACGCAACAGCAAAGTAGTAAGTCTCGCATCCTCCTTCCCTGATCATCTGTGGATGTTCTCGCAATGTTCTTACAAGTAGTAAGTCGCGCATCTTCCTTCCCTGATCGTCTGTGGATGTTCTTACAAGTAACAAGTCGCAGATCTATCTTCCCTGATCATCTGTGGATGTTCTCGCAATGTTCTTACAAGTAACAAGTCACGAATCTTCGTTCCCTGATCATCTGTGGATGTTCTCGTTATGTTCTTACAAGTAATAAGTCGCAGATCTATGTTCCCTGATCATCTGTGGATGTTCTCGCAATGTTCTTACAAGTAATAAGTTGCAGATCTTCATTCCCTGATCATCTGTGGATGTTCTCACAATGTTCTTACAAGTAACAAGTCACAGATCTTCCTTCCCTGATCGTCTGTGGATGTTCTCACAATGTTCTTACAAGTAGTAAGTCACGGATTTTCCTTCCCTGATCATCTGTGGATGTTCTCACAATGTTCTTACAAGTAACAAGTCACAGATCTTCCTTCCCTGATCGTCTGTGGATGTTCTCACAATGTTCTTACATCTTTCACCATCCTCCACGATAAACCTCATATCGATGAACGATGAACACATATTGTGATTTCATCAGCATTATGCATGTCTATAATATTCCTTGTGTTCGGTATTCTCTATATTTTCTATTATTTTTTGTTCTCTATATTCTCTATTTGCGCTCATTCTTCAATATCGACATAGTCTCTATTTTCTATACTCTTTATTCTTTATATTCGCTATACGCTATCCTGCATCCTATCCCTATCTCTTTATTCTGTATTCTCTATATTCTCTATTATCTTAATTCAGTATGTTTTCTATTTGCTATCATTCTTTATTCTCTACACTTTTTCCTTTATTCCCTATATTCAATATTTTCTTTATTATTTATATTCTCTATTTGCTTTCATTCTTTCTTCTCTATGTACGTTTATCTAGGATATACAGGGAGCAGAATTGTGGAATTTGCAGTGCTTTTGCTAAAGATGACTACGATCTATTTTTTACTGGAAGCCGATAAATGGCTGATTTAACAAGCGCGTGATTGCATCTCTAGAGTCTCGTCGCGGATTATTCGATGGAGAGCCATGCTAGAGACCACGAAAACTTCATCAATGTGCTGCGCAACAGGAAGCGTCGAGCCAAGGCCCTGCTCGACTTTGAGCGTCATGATGATGACGAACTTGGTTTCAGAAAGAACGATATCATAACGGTAGTGTGCATATCTACATAATTATATATGTACAACATTATAGACATTACACAGTTACATGGAGCAGATACATGTTAGAATAAACTATAATACAAATTTACAGACATGTCTTAGTTTCAGTCATATTAAATAACATTGCACACGTAGTTTGAACAGTAATAATATATTATCAACGATCAAGAGTACCATGATAGAAAATTTTCTATCATGGTACTCTTGGTATTATTAATCACCTCATCAGGATGTAAAAATGAGATAGTTGTGTAGTATAGTCTGAACTGCTATATCAGCACTGGACAAATGGTTGGTCCTACTGAATCAAGCAAGCATACCTGATTATTAATAAAGTATTACATTATTCAACCTATGTGCAAAAAGTTACTTAATTTGACTGAAACTAAGATTAGGTGTGTTTTTGCAGTTTGAATCATTGTTGACTGTAGGGGTTATATGCTCTTAATATTATATTAGGGTTTTATGGATTTTGGAAAACCTAGAAAGTCCTGGAATTTTAAAATGCAATGTCCTAGGTCAGCCAGCTATGGTCCAGGAAAAAACCTGGAAATTTGGCTTTTGTAATCATGGAAAAGCCTAGAAAGTTTTTGAATAGTTTTAGAAAGTCCTTGCAATTAATCCTATGTCCATCTTATGAAAGAGGTAAATAGATATACATAATATTAAGTAGTGAACCATGGTGTTATGAGTAGTGGTCTAGTAGTTGTTAATAATTTTAGTAGTCGGTTTGATCTTCAGCTTTTTATATTTGTTTGTTTTTATGTCGAAAGTGAAAGGTGAAAGCATGTAATCAAAGACCCGTTTGCTGCCATTTGAGTGTAGCAGCGTGCAGGGGCATTTGTTAGGATTCTGCCATGTGAAGCCAGTCATTGCCTTGCAAAGAAGTTTCATCATGTCCATTCGATGTGTCAGACACATGCAATGCACATGGTTTCTACAACGTGGGTTTGTGTTTTCATTCAGATAATCTCTCAGAAGGATGAGCACTGCTGGGTGGGTGAGCTGAATGGACTGCGTGGCTGGTTTCCTGCCAAGTTCGTGGAAGTGCTGGATGAACGAAGCAAGCAGGTAAGTGTAGGTGCCTACACCACTCTCTCACTGTCTGCATCTCTCACCGGTAGTGTGCGTGCGTGCACGCATACATGCATGTGGGAAGCAGACACCTAGTGTGGTTTTACGAAGCTCCTATATCCATTGCTTTTCACTTGCACTGCACACGTATATTCGTCTAGCTTATTGTTCAGTGTCATGCAGCTAAAAGGTTAGGGTTAGGGTTGCTACTGCTCCTGCTGCTGCTGCTGCTGCTGCTGCTGCTGACGCTACTGCTGCTACAGCTGCTGCTGACACTACTGCTGCTACAGCTGCTACTACTCCTGCTGCTACTGCTACTGGTGGTGGTGGTACCGGTGCTGCTTCTCCTGTTGCTGCTGCTACTGCTACTACTACTGCTGCTGTTGCTACTGCTACTGCTACTGCTACTGCTACTGCTACTGCTACTGCTACTGCTACTGCTACTGCTGCTGGTGGTGGTGGTGCTGCTGCTCTTCCTGTTGCTGCTGCTACTGCTACTACTACTGCTGCTGCTGCTGCTGCTGGCGCTACTGATGCTGCTGCTGCTGCTGGTGCTACTGCTGCTCCTGCTGCTGCTGCTATGGCTACTGCTACTGCTACTGCTGCTGCTGCGATTATGACTATGACTACGATTACTACTTTAGTGTGGTGGTCTTCCCTCTGTGTTAATCACTTGGCTTACTATGGCATTTTAACCTTTTATGTTGAAAATTATATTAGCTTTATTGCTCTACGGTTCTATATGTCACTATTATTGAATATATATAAATAATCTTGTGCCTGTTTTTTAGCTCATCTGACATAGTCATATGCAGCTTGTAGAATCGCTTGATCGTCCGTCTGTCCGTCCGTCCGTCCGTCCGTCCGTCCGTCCGTCCGGTCGTCCGTCCGGTCGTCCGTCCGGTCGTCCGTCCGGTCGTCCGTCCGTCAACAGTTGGGCACAAATCTTAACCGCTCGACGTACGGTCACGATATTCGGGTCGTTGGGGGGGATCGTCAAAACGAGTTGGGATGTCCAAGCTGGGGGTCAAAGGCTAAAGGTCAAGAGGTGTAAAAGAAGGGGGAACATCTCAAGTCTTCAACGATAAGGGTATAGGGAGGAAAATGTCAGAATTGCGGCAGCACAATCTAGAACGGGCTCGACCTAGGCTCGTGATAGTCGGTGTATAGCAATCATGGTAGGAAAAGCCATCACTGTGCTGAAATTGGAGGCTCACCAGGTCAAAGGTCAATGGCACAGGGCAGATTTATGACATTTTCTGAGGACAGGTCTGACGGAGCGATTGAAAAACTTTTTTGTTTCAGCGGTGACCTAGCATTTTTATGGCTTTATTGAAAGGACCATGAAATGTCCCTTCTGCTTGACATGCGAAGAGTAAAGTGTCGGATAACCTTTTGACCCGTCAAAGAGGAGGGTTAAACATGGGATTTGTTGACTGTTAACAAAAGGACTGAAACTGCTTTTGCTATTAGAGGCCCCTCCCCCCACCCTTGCCCCTTCCCCCTCCCCCACCCCTTCCCCGCCCCTTCCCACCCGCCCTCCCCCGCCCGCACCCTCCCTCTACGCGTCCATCTGCGATAAGTGGCGCGTGCCTACACAATGATGTGTACCGCAACTGCGTGTCTGCTCTATCTTGCGCCTAACAAATGTGGTACTACGCACGACTGAAATTTTACGTTTATAATCGTAGCAACAGACCTCAGATGAGCCCAGACGCTCTGCGGCTCTTGTCTTATTAGATTTTAGTTATGCCAATGGTTTCTATAATGTCGTTGTAGTACACAAGTGCTGGGGATGATGCTGTAACTGAAGCTGTCACAGATCTAGTTCGAGGAACGTAAGTCACTGTGTTTTTATGTCACTAGAACATACCTACTGTGCATGTTCCAACCTTGCATTGTCATGACATCATGAAACGCATTGTTATTGGAGCTTTGAGAGCGTCAACTTAGCAAGCAGGTTAATGCTGCCTTTACACTATCGATTTTTTTCAGCAAATCGTACCGATTTCAAGTGCATTCCAACACAATCGGCTGAAATTCGATTGTGTTGGAGTCAGAGTCGGGCCTAGTTGGAGAAATAGAACACGTTCTATCTCTCCAACTCGGCGACTTGACTCTGACTCCGACTCCAACACAATCGAATTTCAGCCGATTGTCTTGGAGTGCACTTGAAATCGGTACGATTTGCTGACAAAAATCGATAGTATAAACGCAGCATAAGATTATGTCATACTATATCTAGCCTTGTTATCAGACTAGTTGACTGCATTATACTATCGCCATTGTTTTTCATTGACTTTGCTTTGGCCTGCAGTTTGTGCCCTGGTTTGAAGGCAACTTTTGAGCATGGTCTGTGTAAGTCATCGATATTGGGTGGACCGTGTCACCCCTGGCTGTTTTTTGAAGAGGCGGCTGCATACCTGGTAGAGAAGGACTTTGAGTCTGTTTATTCTCGTCTTGTGCTTTGCAAGACTTACAGGTATGTGTGTGCTGGAAGAATAAATATTGACTGTGCTGAATGCAATTCAACATTAATAACTGTTAATAACTACAAATCAATAGTGTTATAAGGTAATATTGTTATTAGCAATAATACTTATATTGTCATGCACAAGTGGTCCACACCTTCATTGCCTCTACCACAGAAAGAGACTTGGCTGACTGATTCATCTATTTGCTACTTCAGGTTGGATGAGGATGGTAAGGTGTTGACGCCAGAAGAGATACTGTACCGATGCGTGCAAGCTGTCAATGTAGCACATGATGCAGCACATGCTCAGATGGACGTTAAGTTCCGTTCCCTAATCTGCGCAGGCCTTAAGTAAGCACCTCTCACCCTATACAGTAATACCTCGTGTTATGACAGCCCGGGTCATCATGGGCGGATCCAGGATTGTTGAAAAGGGGGTGTCCAGGAAGAAATAAAGGACACTTTTTCCTGCTTACTTTTTCTGGTGTTTTAAAAAGCTGCCGAAGGCCACTTAGGGGGGGTTGGGATTTTTTTTGAAATTGGTGCATTCTGAGAGCATCTGAGCAGTAATTTTGATGTCTAGAATGCAAAAATTTCAGTATCAGATCCGGTCCCCCGGACGCCTGCGGACCCCTCTTTGCCCATTTCTAGGGTTTTATAACAAAGTTACATATATATAAGTAAATCTTTATCAGAAAAACTAGCGTTAAACAAGATTTTTTTATTGTGTGTGTGTGTGTGTGTGTGTGTGTGTGTGTGTGTGTGTGTGTGTGTGTGTGTGTGTGTGTGTGTGTGTGTGTGTGTGTGTGTGTTTGTGAAGTAAGAACCTTTTTATTGTGTGTGATAGTGCGTCAACGATTGGCTTCTTTCCCTTTATTTCTTTTTTTTGCCAGCTTTCATTTCATTCAAGTGCATTTGAGAGCATAATAATGATCAATCACAACTTAAGAAAAATGTGTCTGCATAAATTAAGTACCGTTTCTTTTTCAACACGTTTTTTTTCTTATGGGACACCACACACACACACACACACACACACAACACACACACACACACACCACACACACACCACACACACACACACACACACACCACCACATAAAAAAAATCTTGTTTAACGCTAGTTTTCCTGATAAAGATTTACTATATTATATGTAAAGTTATTAAAACCCTAGAAATGGGGCAAAGAGGGGTCCGCAGCGTCCGGGGACCGGATCTGATACTGAAAATTTTTGCATTCTAGACATCAAAATTACTGCTCAGATGCTCTCAGAATGCACCAATTTCAAAAAAATCCCAACCCCCCTAAGTGGCCTCGTCGCAGCTTTTTAAAACACCAGAAAAAGTAAGCAGGAAAAAAAAGCTGCCCCTTATTTCTTCCTGGACACCCCCTTTTCAACAATCCTGGATCCGCCCATGATGACCCGGGCCTGTCATAACACGAGGTATTTACTGTATATCGGGTGAGAGGTGCTTACTAAGGCCTGCGCAGATTAGGACGGAACTGTGCACGTCCATCTGCGAGCATGTGCTGCATCATGTGCTACATTGACACTTGCACGATCGGTACAGTGATCTCTTCTGGCGTCAACCTTACCATCCTCATCCAACCTGAAGTAGCAAATAGATGAATCAGTCAGCCAAGTCTCTTTCTGTGGTAGGGCAATGAAGGTGTGGACCACTTGTGCATGACAATTATAAGTATTATTGCTAATAACAATATTACCTATATACACTATTGATTTGTAGTTACTTAACAGTTATTAATGTTGAATTGCATTCAGGACAGCAGTCTTATTCTTCCAGCACACACATACCTGTAAGTCTTCAAAGCCACAGACCGAAACAGACTCAAAGTCCTTCTCTACCAGGTATGCAGCCGCCTCTTCAAAAAACAGCCAGCGGGTGACACGGTCCACCAATAATCGATGACTTACACAGGACCATGCCTCAAAAAGTTGCCTTCAAACCTAGGGCAACAAACTGCAGGCCAAAGACAAAGCAATGAAAACAATGCGATAGTTAATGCAGTCAAGCTAGTCTGATAACAAAAAGGCTAGATATAGTATGACATAATCTTATGCTGCGTTTATACTATCGATTTTTGTCAGCAAATCGTTACGCAGTTCAAGTGCACTCCAAGACAATCGGCTGAAATTCGTCCTTGTGTTGGGAGTCGGAGGTCAGAGTCAAGTCGCCCGCACGTTGGAGAGAATAGAACGTTTCTATTTCTCCAACTAGGCCCGACTCTGACTCCAACACAATCGGAATATCAAGCCGATTGGTGTTGGAATGCCACATTGAAATCGGGGTCGACGCATGTTGCTGAAAAAATCGATAGTTGTAAAGCAGCATTCAACCTGCTTGCTAACGTTGACGCTCTCAAAGCCTCCAATAACAATGCGTTTCAATGATGTCATGACAATGCAAGGTTGGAACATGCCACAGTAGGGTATGTTCTACGACATAAAAACACAGTGACTTACGTATCGCGACTAGATCTGTGACAGCTTCAGTTACAGCATTCATCCCCAGCACTGTGTACTACAACGACACTTATAGAAAACCATTGGCCCATAACTAAAATCTAATAAGACAAAAGCCGCAGAGCGTCCTGCGGCTCATCTGAGCGTCTGTTGCTACCGATTATATAACGTAAAATTTCAGTCTGTGCGTAAGTACCACATTTTATTAGGCGCAAGATAAGCAGGACACGCAACGTTGCGGTACACATCATTGTGTAGGACGCGCCACTATCGCAGATGGAGCGTAGACGGGAGGGTGCGGGCAGGGGGACGGGCGTGGGGGAGGATGCGGGGACGGGCGTGGGGGAGGGGCGAAGGGCAAGCGGTGGGGGAGGGGGCACCTCTAATAGCAAAAGCAGTTTCAGTCCTTTGTTAACAGTCAACAAATCCATAGTTTAAACCCTCTCTTTGAGCGGGTCAAAAGGTATATCCACATTTACTCTATCGCATGTTCAGCAGAAGGGACATTCATGGTCCTGTTCAATAAAGCCATAAAAATGCTAGGTCACCGCCTGAAACAAAAAAGTTTTTCATTCGCCTCCGTCAGACCATGTCCTCAGAAAATGTCACTAAATCTTGCCTGATGGCCCATGACTTTGGAACCTGGGTGACCTCCCTAAATTTCAGCACAGTGATGCCTTTTCCTACCATGATGCTAACACCCGACTATCACGAGCTAGGTCGAGCCCGTAGATTTGCTGCCGCAGATCTGACATTTTCCTCCCCTATACCCTTATCGTTGAAGACTTGAGATGTTCCCTTCCTTTACACCTCTTGACCGTTTGCACCTTTGGACCCCCAGGCTTCGACATACCCAACTCGTTTTGAACGATCCCCCAACGACACCGAATATCGTTGACCGTAACGTCGAAACCGGTTAAGATTTGTGCCCAACTGTTGTACGGCCACACGAACGACCGGACGTCCGCCTTCACGGAGGATCACGGCACGGACGGACGGACGGACACAGCGGTGCACCGACTCAAGCAGGCGATTCTTACAAGCTGCATAGGACATTCAGATTGAGCTAAAAAAACAGCATCAAGCGATTTATTTAATATATATTCAATAATATTGACATTTTAATTTAAGGAACCCGTCTGCAGCCAAATAAAGCCTAATATAATTTTCAACATAAAGGTTAAAATGCCATAGTAAGCCAAATGGATTAACACAGAGGGAAGACCACACACACTACAGTAGTAATCGTAGTCAATAGTCATTAATCGCAGCAAAGCAGCAGTAGCTTAGCTAGCCATGTAGCCATAGCAGCCGCAAGCAGCCAGAGAGCAGCAGGGCACAGCAGCGCAGCAGCGATCAGTAGCGCCAGCAGCAGACAGCAGCAGCAGTAGTAGCTAGCAGGACCGAGCAAGCATACAGGATCCAGGAGCAGGCAGCCCACCACCACCAGCAGCAGTAGCAGACCCAAGTAGCTAGTAGCATCAGCATAGGCAGTAGCAGTAGCCAACGCACAGTAGTAGTGCAAGCTGAGCAGCAGCAACAGGAGACAGCAGCCACCGGTACCGACACCACCCAGTAGCAGTAGCGATGCAGGTGATAGCGGTAGCTCGAGCAGTAGTGTAGCCAGCAGCTGCTAGCAGCAGTCAGCGTCAGCCAGCAGCAGCCAGCAGCAGGCGGAGCAGCAGCAGCATTAGCAACCCTAACCTAACCTTTTAGCCTGCATGACAGCTGAACATAGCTAGACGATATACGTGTGCAGTGCAAGTGAAAAGCAATGGCATATAGGCGACACAGCTTCGCTAAAACCACACTAGCTGTCTCTTCCCATCATGTCATGATAGCTGCACGCCCGCACACTACCGGTCGAGAATGCCAGAACACGTGAGAGAGTGCGTGGTAGGCCACCTACACTTACCTGCTTGCTTCCGTTCATCCAGCACTTTCACGAACTTGGCAGGAAACAGCCCAACCGCAGTCCATTCAGCTCACCCACCACCAGCAGTGCTCATCCTTTCTGAGGGAGATTATCTGAGATGAAAACACAACCACGGTTGCTAGAAACCATGCTGCATTGCATGTAGTCTGCACACATCGAATGACATGTATGAAACGTCTTTGGCGAAGGCAATGATCTGCGGCTGTTCACATGCCAGAATCCCATGAACAAATGCCCTGGAGCCACTCGCCTGCTACACTCATAATGCCAGCAAACGGCGCGTCTTTTGATTACATAGCTTCAACCTTCACTTGGTCGACATGAAAACAAACAAATATTCAAAAAGCTGAAGATTCAAAAGCCGGACTAGCTAAATAATTTATTAAGCAAGCTACTAGACCACTACGCATAACCCATCGGCACTACTAATATTATGTTATATCTACGTTTAACCTCTTTCATAAGGACAAGATATATTGCAAGGCACTTTTGCTAAAACATATTCAAAAACCTTTCTAGGCTCCTTTCCGATGATTGACAAAAAGCCAAATTTCCAGGTTTTTTCCCTGGACCATAGCTGGCTTGACGCTAGGACATTGCATTTCTAAAATTCCAGACTTTTTCTAGGTTTTCCAAAATCCATAAAACCCTAATAATAATATTAAGAGCATATATGAGGCCCTACAGTCAAAAATGCATTCAACACTGCAAACATAACACACCTAATCTTAGTTTCAGTCAAATTAAAAGTAACTCTTTTGCACATTAGCGCTTGAATAATGTAATACTTTATTAATAATCAGGTATGCCTTGCTGATTCCAGCTAGGACAAACGACCAACCATTTGTCCAGTGCTGATATCAGCAGTGCAGACTATACTCACACAACTACTCCATGTGTACAGTCCTGATGAGCGCTGATTAATAAATACCAAAGAGTACCATGATAGAAAATTTCTACTCATCGGGGGGCATACTCTTGACGTTGATAGTATATTATTAACTGTATCAAACTACCGTGGTGCAATGTTATTGTAATACTGACTGCAAACTAAGACATTCTGTAAATTGGTATGGTATTAGTTTATTCTAACATGTATCCTGCTCCATGATAACTGTGGAATGTCTATAATGTTGGTACATATATAATTATGCTAGATATGCACACTACCGTGTTATCATATCGTTCTTTCTGAAACCAAAATTCGTCATCATCATGACGCTCAAGTCGAGGCAGGGCCTTGGGCCTCCGACGCTTCTGTGTGCGCAGCACATTGCATGAGTCTTTCGTGGTCTCTTAGCATGGCTCGTCCCCATCGAATAATCCGCGACGAGACTCATAGAGAGTGCAGTCAACAGCGCTTTAAGATCAGCCATTATCGCGCTTCCAGTAAAATAGCATCGTAGGTAATCTTTAGCAAAAGCCCCACTGCAACTTCCACAATCTCTGCGCCCTGTATATCCTAAATAAACCGTACTCAATAGCAGAAGAAAGAATGAAGCAATAAGAGAATATAAATTAATAAAGAAAATATCTGAAGATAGGGAATAAAGGAAAAAGTGTAAGAGAATAAAGAAATGTAGCAAATAGAAAACATACTGAATTAGATAATGAAAATTATAAGAGCAATACAGAATAAAGAGATTAGGGATAGAGACAGGGGATACGTATAGCGAATAAAACAGAATAAAAGCAGGTATAGAAATAGAGGACCTATGTCATATTGAAGGAGGCGGAGGAGCGCAAAATAGAGCAATATAGACGAACAAAAAATAATAGAAATTATAGAGCACAATACCGAACGCACAAGGAATATTATAGAACATTGCCATAATGCTGGATGAAAATCACAATATGTGTTCATCGTTTCACCTCGATATGTGAGCGTTACGTGCGAGGCATGGTGAAAGATCGTAAGGACATTGCTCGTGAGCGGCTCGCTGTGAGACACAATGCCACAGACGATCAGGGGAAGGCAAGATCCTGTGACCTTGTTACTTGTAGACAGAACATTGTGAGAACATACCACAGCTTATGTTCATCAGGGAAGGCGAAAATCCCGTGACCGCTCTGTACTTACTTGTAAAAGCATTGTGGAGAACAT